GGTATTTGAATTCAGGGACGAAAGGGTTAAAATAAGCAAGTTGGCATCAACATCCGGTATAACCGGAAGTGCTACCATCTTGAAAACGTCTTAGCTGCCGTTGTCTCGTCGACATTAGTATAAGCACAAATTTTCAAAAATATCACATTCCTACTTTTTGAGAAATCTATCGATGGAGTTCCAGATGCGACACACTGTATACTAAAATTTTATAAACTCAAGATGTCGACCTGAAAATGCTTTTTTCACGGGTTGCAGCCCAAACAGCTTGAGGCATTTTGAGATTTGAGGTATCCTTACGTTCGTCTTAATAGAACAATTTATTTTGCACATAATCAGTAGATTTTGTTATTTGACCTTGACAATACACTATTAGCTTTTATTTTAGGTCTAGTAACACGACATTATGTCAAACAGTTCACCAGCATAGTGAACATAATGTTTTTGTGAATCTGGTTCGTTTTGTGCAGTTCTTGAATTTGGGGTGGTCTGAAAAGTTTCCAACGTAACAAAGACAAATACAAGACATTTTTCTGATTTTTTTTTCATTTTCCAACATAGTCTCCTTGTAACTCTTCACACTCCCAGCGATGTTCTCATATCTGTAACCCGTCCAAATAGTACTCGGAGCTTTTCTCTTCAAAATAATTGTTCACGAAGGTGATTGTCTCTTCATTTGACGAAAATCTCAAAAAAGAAGTCACTTAGGGTTACATCTGGTGAATGAGGCGGATGGTCAAACAGTTCAATTGAGGTATGAGACGGTGCGATGTCTCGGTGAAACAGGATTTTCTTTTTCTGCAAATGCGGCCGTTCTGCCTTCAGCTTGTCAAGTAATGACGTAGTATGCCCCTGTAATGGTTTTTCCTTTTTGAAGATGATCGATTAAAATAACTCCATAACTATCCCAAAGAGCGGTCTCCATCACTTTCCCAGCCGAAAAAACAGTTGTTGCTGTTTCTGGAGCCGGTTCCCTCTTTTCAGTCTACTGTTTGGACTATATTTTTGTTTCGGGCGAATAATGGTGTATCCAATTGCGCCTACACTGCGCCAGCAGAGCGTTGGAAATGTTCATTCGAACACGTTTTTGGTCTAACGAGAGCAAACGCGGCACCCAATGCGCGAACAGCTTTCTCATGCCTAAATGTTGATTTAATATGTGACAAATACATTCTTTTGACAGGTTCATAACCTCTGCTATCTCTCTCACTTTAATTCGATAATCTTCTAGCACCATTTGGTGAGCTTTGGCGATGTTTTCGTCGGTACTTGCAGCTTTTGGATGTCCCGAACGTGAATCGTCTCCCAAGCCCTTACGGCCACGTTTAAATTCAGCCGCCCAAAATTTCACTGTGCTTAATTGCGTAGACGAATTGCCTTTCAAAAACAAATATTTAATAACATATCGATACTCGATTTTGTCCATTTTCACAAAAACACTCACATCAACTCGAGCGACTGTTACATAACAACTGCATGTCCAAAATGACTGAAACTGAAGTGAGTAAGAGTCGACCGATGAACAACGAAATTCACTAGCTTTTATTTGCGAGTACTGCCATATTCACATTGAAGTCGGAAACTATTCAGACCACCCTCGTATACCCAGTCAAAACCGTAGCTAGTAGAAGATATGAAATTATTTAATTTATACTCACTCTTCATGGTAGCATGTTGCATTGCGGCAAGATTTAACTAACAATGTAGACAGACCAAATAGATTTGGAGTTAGGCCACGGTTCAGAATAGGAGTCCCGACAACGGAAATCAATGGTTGTCGTGATCGTAATTCGTATTTATGATAGATTTATCATAATATCAATTCACTTTGACTTTTTGTCGTGTCATTGAAAATTGTCACCCAAAGTACAAAGCCCCCTTTAGAAAGCCGTGCACATCCACCAATCTTAAAGTATCACCGCAAAGAGGTGAATGCACACGAAAACCACTAACAACAATCAGGGCACAACTTTGCAGATGAAAATAAGAAATAATTTATTTAAATTATAGGATCCACATTTTGAACAGTTTAATGCTTCCAAAACATAGTAATGTACCTTGACTAACAAAAAGGGTCCTAGCGTATTTCGGCTGGTCAGAGTCCAGATTACCGAGGACTTGATCTGGAACGAATATATCTCGTCAATAGCGACAGCAGTTGACAAAAAGCTAGGCTATTTGTTCAAGACTAAATAGTATTTTTCTGATCAGCCTCGAGTACTGTCCACATGTTTGAGGTGCTGCCAGCGCGACTACATTATTCATGCTCGATTCTGTTTAAAGAAGTGCTGTCCCACGGATCGATGACTCTACAGGGTTATCCAAATTAAGTGTCCACCATTAGTAACTTTGTTATTAGTGAAAATACAAGGTTGTTTGAATTAGCAAACTAGTAGCATTTTTAACGCTGGTAAAAATGAGAAATAAAAAAAAACAATTGAGAGTCGTCATTTTGATTTTTTTCAGTAAAATAACATTTTTTTAAATGGAAACCCCTGTATATTATATTTTTTTCTGTTAAAGCATCAAATTTTAAACAAAAAAGTTCATAATGACTTTTCCGCTAAAGTCAAAAATAAAGTCAAAATAACGATAAATATTTTTAATTATTTGCAGTATTATAATATTAAGACGGCTATGAAAACAACATGGCGTTCGCGATTTGACAGCATTAAGATAAGCGACAAATTGTTAAACTGGACATACTCGCAACTAGAAGGCTTTGGAAAACAATGATAAAATCAAATAATGTCAAACATTAGTGTAAGTACTTGTTTATAAGCTTTATTGTGTCATTAATTTAAAGAAAAATGTTCTCCCATGAAGAAAAGTGTGATATGTTAGAATGCTATTTAGTGTGCAGAAAATCCTCCTTGAGAGCAAGAGAATACTACAGTGAATTATATCCCGCTCGCATTCAACCGTATGAACGATATTTTCTGAGACTTTATGGAAAATTTAGGGGCAACGAAAATGTTTTTGCTAAAACAAGGGCAAAAAAAGAATTCATAATAAGCGAGGCCACGGAAATTGCAGTTATTGGATATTTTGAAGCTTATCGTGAGAATTCAATAGCAGATATTCTCAAGGACTCTAATTTCAGTTATGGTACTGTTCAAAGGATTTTAAAAAAATACAAATTTATTCCGTATAAGTACCGACCAGTTCAAACGCTTTTGGCAGGGGATCCAGAGAGAAGACTTGTTTTTTGCCATTGGTATCTTAGCTTCTGTCGCCAAAATGTAAATAACTTTCGTTACCTTTTATGGACAGATGAATCAAATTTTTCAAATTCTGGAATGTTTAATAGAAAAAACCACCATTATTGGTCAAGAGAAAATCTTTTGTTAGTACATCCAAGAGGCCCACAAGTCCGTTTCAGTTTCAACGTTTGGTGCGGTATAATTGGTTCAAAAATTGTTGGCCCGTTCTTTTATGAGGGAACCCCAACTGGTGAAAGATATGTGGAATTTATGTCAGAAATTCTGACTAATTTCTTAGACGAATTGGATCTTATAAGTAGACATCATCTGCATTTTCAGCAAGATGGCGCACCTGCCCACAACTCCAGAGGTACTTATCATTTTCTAAGTACTACTTTTAATGATCAGTGGATAGGAACAAATGGCCCAATACAGTGGCCTCCCAGATCACCAGATCTAAACCCACTTGATTACTTCTTGTGGGGTTACTTAAAGAACCAAATTTACAAGCGAAGGTACGATAACCTTGACGCGTTAAAGACTGCAGTTAGGGAAAAGATAACCCAGATAGATGGTAGGACCATACTTAAGACAGTTCGAGCAGTTGAAAAACGTGCCCAAAAATGTATTGAAGAACAAGGTGGTGTTTTCGAGCATCTTCTTTAAAAAAAATTGTTATTGTATTTTGTAAGATTATAAGTTGATGTTGAAAATAAAGTTTGTCGATACAATTTAATTGTTTCAGATTGGAGGCCATAACTTCAACAATTTGTAACCTAGGAGAAAAGTTATTGTAAGCTTTTTTGTTTAAAATTTGATGCTTTAACAGAAAAAAATATAATATACAGGGGTTTCCATTTAAAAAAATGTTATTTTACTGAAAAAAATCAAAATAACGACTCTCAATTGTTTTTTTTTATTTCTCATTTTTACCAGCGTTAAAAATGCTACTAGTTTGCTAATTCAAACAACTTTGTATTTTCACTAATAAAAAAGTTACTAATGGTGGACACTTAATTTGGATAACCCTGTATAACTGACACTCTCGGGATCCTTTCTCGCTAGTGGGCCGTCGGCGATTTAGCCCTCATCTATCGCTACGCCAACAGGCTTTGCTCCTCAGAGCTCTCTTCCATGATGTCGCCGCGCGATATGCCTGCCAGGTAGACCTGCCTGACTTCAGTCTCCCATCCTAACCTTGTCAAACTTCGTGCGTCCAGAAAGACAGCTCCTTTGTCCCGAGGGATCGAGATTCTACAATCTACATAATATGAGGCTCCTCCCGGTTCTGCTAATATTAGGCATGTCAAAAATCGGATTAACAAACTTCCTTTAAGCTCTTCATAGCTGCCGCGGTTCCCTGGCTCTTAGGACTGTATCGTCAGCCTTTATGGCCTCCTTGATTGACATAGTGTTCTCTCCTTCAGAAATTTCTATATTTCACCTGTTCCGTGTCAGCGTCAGCGCTCTCGTATTGTGAAGTTGTTTTCTTTTTGAATTATAGGAAATTTGAGGCTGATAAAACAGATGATTAAAACCAAAAGCATGAACAATTTGATGCAAATAGATACATATGACATAACCTCAAAATAGAGCGCTGACACGGAAAAGTAGAAAACTATGAAAATCAAGCGGGCCATAAAGGCGTCCTACAATAATTGTAGGAACGACTGACGATACGGCCCTACGATTTCTGCCTGCGCAGCCTCTTCGGTGTAAAAATAAGAAAAAGGAAAAATGTATTATTTAATTCAGCAGACTTTATTTAAACGCTTGATGTTCATTTGTACCTTTCAGGATGATATCTACGTGACAGACACTGTCCTTAGGATACTCCCAGAGACTACAAGAAATCTATTTTACTACATTATTTTGTGTATTACTGTGACAGCACTCATAGGAAATATGCTTGTCGTTAACGCTATGAGGAACAAGTGAGTTGCTTTGATTAAGAATACAGAACTTTACCACGAATATAATGCTACTCAATTCATAAGGTAAATGTCACACAATCAGTATTTACTGTCCGTACCAGTAGTACTTACTGGAAACGCAACCGATATGGCTGACTATCCATATCCAGCCTCTTCGGCGACAATTTATTGTACTGTATTATACGAACTAGCTACTACCTGGAGAAGGCAGGATAGTAATAAAACAAAAAAAACGAAAAAAGTACGAACTTTAGGTTTATGGGTACAGTAAGTCTTCAGTAAATGAAATGCTTCTTATACAGAGAGATTCACAAGTCGTGACCAAAAATCAAACATCATACACAGGACCGCATTTTAAGGGGGGTCTTCTATGTAACATTTTTCCCTCGAGGGATTCATTAAAACGATACGGGGTGTTCAAGTTTAAAAATAAAAAACAATATTTTTACTATCTTCAAAGCCGTCAGCTGAAATGAACTAAAATTTGGTATGTGGATTCACCTAAGTATTGTCCACATTCAAGTCTTTACTTAAAATTAACGTGCACCAGTGGCGGAGATATAGGGGATTAGTGGCATTGTTTTTCCAAATGAAAATAGTATGCCACTGTTTTTTTTTTCGAAACGCTCAATTTTACTAATGTTACCTTCAATTTGCTACAAATAATTACTCTTGTGTTTTTTTTCTCAGAGTGCACTGTTTCCGTAAAAATATAAATAAAACAAATTAGATGATTCATGAAGAGCCGAGATACAATTAGTTTCACAATAAAATAGGAGGTATTGATACCAACTTCACGTTTCTTGTGAGATGGTTTGTCAAAGTTATGTGTTATACGGTTGTACGGTAATTTTTTTAAGTCAAGTCAAAAGTTTCTTTTTTTCATTTTTGAGTGTTGTAGCATGGAATTAATCAACGTAGATTTCCTAACAGACGCCAACCTACCCCAAAGGTTTTTACGCGTTCATTTCTAAGACTTCGGCAATATGGAATTGCCAAACTTCTCGGAGTTAGAGGTCATGGTGTCCGGCATACTGTTCAAGAGGAACTGAAAGTGATTAATTTGGCGTTGGATGATCCTAGTACAAGTACTTTGCGGATTGCAGCCCAGTTACCATGTTCCCAAAGTCCAAAGTGCAAATGCATAATCAAAATGCAGATTTCATTTATCAGATTTTGTGGTCAAATGAATCGCTTTTTACGAGGAGTGGAACATTTAATTCTCATAATGAACATATTTGGTCGTTAAAAAATCCCCATTCTGTAAGAATCCACTTGTTTCAACACAGATTTTCTAGAAATGTCTGGTTCGGAATTTTCAATGGCCAACTGTTTATGCACGTATTACCACAACATTTAAATGCAACCTTATACTTAGCTTTTCTAGATAATTACATAGAAAATGTGTTAGATGATGTTCCGCTAGCGACGAGAGTACGAATGTGGTATCAGCACGACGATGCCGCACAGCATGTTCATCGTGACATAACCTCATGGTTAAATAATCATTTTAGACAACTATGGATTGGCAGAAACGGACCCGTCATTGGCCTGCGAGGTCTCCTGATTTGAACCCCCTGGATTTCTCTTTGTGGGGCGCCTCTTACAACTAGGAACTAGGATATTGCTGTTGACCAGTTACAAGAAAGAACAGATGATGCGACCTCAAATTCAAGCTACAACAAATTTTCCGGAAATACCTTTTTTCTTTATTAAAAAGATGCCGCACGTGTATCCGTCAGAATGGTGGTCTTTTTGAACATTTATTGAAATAAAGCTTTGATTATCTAATTTGTTTTTTTTTTTTACCAAAACAATGTACTGTAGGAAAAAACACAGGAATAATTATATGTAGGTAGCAAATTGAAGGTAACATTCGAATAATTGCGCGTACTCTTTTTATTTGGAAAATAATGCCACTGGCGCACGTTAACTTTAAGTAAAGACTTTTGAATTTGGACAATACTTAAGTAAGTCCGCGTACCAAATTTTAGTTCATTCCAGTTGACGGTTTTGAAGATATGAAAAATAATCGTTTTTAATTTTTAAATTTCAACACCAGGTATCTTTTTAATGAATTCCTGTGTATGATGTTTAATTTTTGGTCACGACTTGTGAATCACCCTGTATGACACTGCATCATGGATAAAGTAGAATGACTATTTTTTTGTACTGAGAAACAAGCTTGACTAACAAAGGCTTGAGATTAAAGTAAATCAGAAAATAAAGACAAGAACGGTCATTATCACTTACATAATTGCCATACTAATGGAAAATTGCGGTTTTTCTGCGTTTGCTAGCTGAATCCGGTTTCGTTGCTCCTCGTACAGTATGCCGGCTTTCCAAGACAATATCTCACTGTATACGCTGCTACAGGGAGACAATATATGTATATGCTTCATAAAATTTTCCAAAATTCGAAATTAGTTACAATTGACTATCCAACATCTTATGTATTGTCAATTTGCTTAATTCCAGCGTTTTAAAATAAATAGCATTCCTTGGAAGCTTCCGCTGCCCTGTTGAAACAGTGCTATAAAGTTTTAGCTTCTTCTTTACATTAAGAAAAATGCACCTTTTTGATGGGGTCGGGTATCTGGCGGCTACGTAACATTATACATGAATAATTACTGACGTCCTGTCTACACAGATCACAGTGAATACTCATCGTGTAACATTCTCCTAAGGAATGTAAATTAGTATAATATGAAGATGCCTGAAAAATGATCAGACTCATAGCAGAGTTTAAAAAAACTTTATAAAAATGTAATGTAGTTGAGGTATTGTCACTAATTTTCACTAAAACTACGAATGGTAGGCAACCTCTATTTAGCCTTAATTCCAAAGATTGGATTTACAATTATCTGAATCTGAATACAATTTGAACAGTTCTGGAGTAACATACCTAGTAAATTATGCATTATCTTATTTTTCATTATTTATCATCTAACTATGGAATCGTTCAGCCAACGTAAAGTGGTCCAGAAGTTCAGCGCTTTTATACTGAATAGCAATAGCTGTGGAATAGCTCTGACACATGGAGCCGAAATATCGGAGCCGTTTTCCAGTGCTTTTGAATATTGAGTTGTATGTACCCGGATTGTGACGCTCCCGAACTGCTCTAGCAAATGTGCACGGGAACGCGACGATGAAAACCTAAGCTGTTTTTGATGTTTTGCTTTGACGTTGACAATTTGTATCACACTGCAAAACAGGGAAATTATAAGGACAATTTGCCTTTATTTTCAGAAGCATTGTCAGACTATCCAATTGATGCCTGATGAGGCTTTTAAAACAATGGATTTTTAATATGAAGCTTCTGGATAAATATGTCGAATTATTATTTTTGTGTAGACATTCAAAATTATTTTCAAAGCGTCTAGTTATAGATGAAGCCAACTACAAGCCGCAATGAACCTGCATTCTTACACTATCTTGTGATCTTTATTATTCAGGGACAACTCAAATGTACGTTGTGACTCTGGGTCAAAACATTATCAGTTCTTTACCATTGTCTGGTATCGCCTTAATGTGAGTTTAATGCAAAAAAAACAAAAGCAATGAAAAACATGACCTAACAATAGTGACACATTGTCATTTTCGTTATCCCCACCGAATAAAAAGCGGGTGCATGAGTGGGCATTAGATTTCAAAAATTAGTAGCTGAGGTGCTTGACACTCTAGACCACTGGAACGGTATTGACAGGTGGTGGGTAGCTCCGGGTTACTCCGAGTAACACATATGAGGCACTGGAAAGCGGCTCTGGAGAAACTACAGCAATGCTATTTGTGCTGAAAAAACGACCCTGAAACTTCACGCTTGGAGCACCATGCCATGGGATGACATTGTCGGTTTGACAGCAGTTTTTGCGGTTCGGACGAGTTGGAAGCAGAAATATTCGATAATATTAATAAACCACAAAGTAATAAACAATGCATGGCAAAACGTAAAATGCAGAGAAAGATTGCTGCAGGTTATGAGGAATTTTTTTACATTTTTCAATGCGTGGACGCCCTACACCGTATTCTACATCCACTAGATTTCCGAGAGATACACCATCCTTGGCAACAGGATTGGCTTCATACGAATACTCGAATCCCTTACGCAGTTTAACCTTCTATCTTTAGTCTTCGTGAAAAAGGCGTAGATTTATTTCAAAGAGCGGGGCGATGCTTTGTATCCACAAAACGTGTGATTTCCACCAGAACCTTATATGCCGATGAAATTCCCCAAGTAAAAATCACCCAAATTTTTGAAAACATTCCCCAACATGGCAATCCTGTCAAAGCACCACTGGTAATCCAAGAATCAAGTTTCAGTGTCGTTTTTACAGCACGAACAGCAGAGCTGTAGTTTCTCCTGGTATACAGGCTCCATGTGTGAAAGCTATTCCACGAGAACTGCTCTTTAGCATGAAAGCGCTGCATCGCTGTACCTCTTTTGGCTGGCTGGACGCTCCCATTAGCCATAATATACCTTGGTTTTTAGGCAATGCAAGTTTCTTCAGAAGACCTTTATTATAAGTTTGGCCATAGCAGATATGTTTACAATATGCATGTTTGCTATAAATCATCTGAGGATTCTTAGGAATGAACTTATGGTTTGGGTAAGATTCAGCACGAAATACTTAATACACTGTAGCTGCATATGTCACCCACCACGAGCCACAGACAGAACAATGTGTGTTCAATTTTGTTTTTTTTTTATATTTGATCGGCAACCAACATCAGCATACCGTGGGCATAATTTAACCACTTTTCGGGCCATAGGAGTGAGCAACTGGTAAATCCGGTGAGCAATATTCATCCTATTGGAACATATGAAAACTCCTTGAGTGGGGTGACGGATGTCAATGCATATTTGCTTGTTTTTTCAAATTTCCGGAACTTAATTGCCACACCAGGTATCTGAATACTAAATTATGACCATTGTCTTTCAGACCCTGGGCCCCTTCATGTGTGTCTTCATACCAACAGGACAGGTACTTGGTACAACAGCAAGCTCTGTAGCTCTGTTGGCCATAGCCTTGGACCGTTATCAAAATGTAGTGTATGCTCTCAGTAAAAGATGGAATCCAAGTCCTCGCATCTGTATTTCGATGGCAGTTGGAGTTTACGTGTTATGTTCAGGTAAGGACAACAAAACAAAAGAAAATGAATCTAATGGATGAAAACGAAGTATTCGTATGAAGGAAAACGTTGAGTTTTTACCCGACTGTCTTAGAAGGACGGTGATGTTTTTCAAGCGTGTCTGTGCCTGTAAGATGGCAAATAAATATATTTTATTATTATTTCACGGGCAGCATGTGACATGTGAGATGTTGTTGTATGCATTAGGGCAGGTGACCCTGGGTATATTTACATCTATACAATCAAAATGGCGGATTTTAGTCGGAAATGTTAACTTTGGAATGTCTATTACATGGACTGTAGCATAACGACTTGATGGAGTTTGATTTTTGAAGTGTCCTCAGATTGAAAACACAACTAAAACTAAATTCTTTTGAATTAATCAGCTTGGGTCTCTGTATTTTTTAAAAATGCACATTGCGATATACTGAATATATGGGAGAAGTATGATTGCCGCGAGAAGTCTTCAAAACGTTTCATTTACTCCGTATCTTTTTACATTTCTATTGCCCCCAAAATGCCCGCTATTCTGTCGGTTGAAGTCATAGCGAAGCGCTAGTGTTCTCGTTCGAGAGGCGGTATAAATTTTTGCTCCGACACAGTTAAGTTGCCATCATGCATTGGAACAGTGGAGAGCGTGCTTCTGCCGTTGAGTCCTACTTTACGAGCGGATGTTCGGTGACCGCAGCCCAGCGCGCCTTTAATTTAGCCCCATTGGCTCCTGTCCCGGATGAAAGATCAATTGTTACGCCGGTCACTACGTTCAGACAAACTGCAGGTGCGACAAGAAGAAGAACTGCAGTCTCTTGGACCATTAGATCACCTGAAAACAATGAGGCAGTGAGAGCTTCAAAGTTGCGGTTACCACGACATCTGCGGCCAAACATATATCTGCCTTGGACTTTCATATCGTTCTGTGGAGAGAATTCGTCATTCATTCATTCTTCTTTCGCATGGGAACTTTCTGAACATGACATCAATTCTCATATGAACGCGTGTGAGCATCTTCTCGATGTCGTTCCTTAGGACGCAATTGTTCTTTTTTTTCAGTGATGTAGCCCATTTTCACTTTTTTGGATGCGTCAACAAACAAAACGTGCACTACTGAGCTGACATCTATTCTCGAGGATTACATCAACGGCCTTACCTTGGGATTCACCTAAGTCACAGTGTGGGAATTATTGGTCCCTGGTTCTGTGAGGAAAATGAAGTCACAGTGTCAGCGAATTTGGACTGGTATTTAAACATGCTACAGGATTTTTTCATGGTTAGACGAGTTAGACTCAGAGGTTATTTGATTTAAAAACCAACATTCAGGAAGACATTGTCAACATAATGCCTGTTATGCTGACAAGATTCATGAAAAACGACAGAAATTGATTTATTCAGTGTATGGAAAAAGGACATCACCTATCTGATTTGATCTTCAAAACTCTGTACAACAAAAGTTTAAGCCTGCGCCTACATTAAGAAAACAAAAAATAAACAAATAATGATTCATACAGCGGATTTAAACAGGAATGTTGCCACATCCGTTATATTAGATTAGATAGGTAGACGAAGAATTTCAAGATGTGGAGTTCATTAGATTTTGACATGCTGAAATACAGCTAATCAGCAAGTTACATCTTAGTGTTAAGTCTGAACTGCTGGCAATAATGAATGCACGATACTAGTGCCCTCTTTAAATACCGTCAATCATTTCAGCTGGACCAGCGACTGAGCGCTTCCGCGCCAGACACATTTCAAAATCCATCAAGTCATTTTGGCTGTAGCCCGTGAAATAGATATTTCGGAGTTATTTCCTGGAATGAGAAAATAAACATCCAAACTTTCTCATTTATAACATTTGTCAAGCCATCGTTGGTTGTCTGGGAGGTCCGTAGGATTTTAGCTCTTGCGTCAGTCAGTTTGTCTGTCCGGGAAGGAACGGAGAGACGGAAGGAAGAGGGCAAAGAGGAAAAGATAATTCTTTAAGACAGGTAGCGTCTGAGCACTGTTAAAATCACTTGACATAAAAGAGTAGGAATTAATTAATCAAGTAGTGGTTAATGAAAATTATATTTTCAGCTTTAGCGTATCCGATGGCTACAATATTCGATTATCAACCAATCAAGATCTACTTCGTCGATAAGAAAACAGTCGAGGATGCCTTTATGTGCGTAGCCACCAAAGAGAAGTTGACCATTTATTATTGCTGTATAGCTGCATTAATCTTCATGCCCATTTTGACTATCTTCGTATGGTTCTACTATAACATAGCCACGCTAGTGTGGAAACACCGAAAGCCATTGCATATGAGATTCAAGAAGAAACATCAACGAGAAGATGAAAGTACAACCACAACAAAATGTTCGAACACAAACAGTGTACCAACAGTAACCATGGCACATACTTTGCAGAAGAAGAAAAATTTGCAAGTCGAGAGGAAGCTTCGCACTTTCAGAATAGTAGTGGTGTTAATGATAACATTTGTTATTTGTCGTTTTCCTTATTGGTACTATTACGTGATGAGGACCATATGCAAACTGGCAGGGAATTTTGTGTGGAGCATACACTATACGTTTATATCTCTGACAATGTTGAATTGCGCATTGAATCCCCTTCTGTATACGTTTCTGAACCAAACCATCAACGCGTTCAAAACCGTAAATGATTTCATGTGTAAAATATGTTGCTGCTGTTTTTCGAATGCCGATTTTGAGGATTTTGAAAAAGAGAATCCTTTTGCTAGAGAAAACTATCAACCAGAATTTCAGAGGGTCGGTAAACCGAATAATGACCAGTTCAATAAACGCTGTGATAAAAATAATAGAACCGAAAAGTACTAAAGTACCAAACATAAACAATATTGCTACTTATCACTAGCATAGCTCCAAACCATCACCATTTTGTTACTGATTTAAAAAATGGGACCAACAGCACTTCCTACGCAACGCCGTGGTCAAGTCATAGAGGATTAAGTTCAGCAAAAGTTCAACCCTCTGACAAAAATAGTTACGAACGTGCAAAAGATCAGACCCATACACCATAGACATTATTTCCCTGCCCTATCGGTAGTTAACGTACATGTGGCAACATTGCCCGTTCCCATATCGGCAACAGTCAAACAGGCCATTATGACGGGCGCTGGGCCCAGATAGCAGAAGCAGACGAGTATCCAGAATATTTCTTTATCATTCTGAGTTTCAAAGACAAATGTACGGGATATATATAATAATATTTATTACCCTCATTAAACAGAATATACAAAGTTTACAAACAAAAAAAGCCTTAAGAAGATAAAGGGCTACATCAGCTTGCCCCTTAAAGAAGCAGCTGCAAGAGCTAAAAAACAAACAACTTTAAACAATTCTATAGTAAGACAAATGGCTATTAAGACATTAATAATTAATAATGTTTCAATCTTAAGAAATATAGCGAAGTATAGTAAGTAGAGAAATGGAAATTTAGAGTGAGAAGAGAAAGCGAAGGGAAAGGGAAGAATAGAAAAGGGGGAGTAGGAAATGTGTTTTCTATGATATCTGAGACAGTAAATCACTTTTAAGGTTCCTCTTAAATGAAGCTACCGAGAGAGAAAAATCTTTAATTTTGAATTTGTTTACCAAAAAGGCAATTTGATATGAGAATGATTTCTTAACTGATTCTTTATTGTGTGTTGGTATTGTAATCAAATTCAATCTTCTAATGTTTAGATTATGTACATCAGTCCGGTAACTAATTTTTAAGTGAAGATAAGGGGGTCTTTTATATTTTATAATCTTGTAAAAAAAGGAAGTAGCGTGCAAGGTACGCCTCCGAGCCATATCCAACCATCCCAGTTCAGGTAGTTTGTGGGATACTCTTTGTCGACCCCTTATGCCAAATATCAGTCTCAGACAAGAATTCTGAGCTTTTTGAACCCGTTTTAGTTCCACAGTATCAATAAATGGGCCTTACATCATATCAGCAAAGTTAAAGTGGGACAACACTAAAGCTTCGCTCAGCGTGGCTTTAGTATTTTGTGATAGGTAATGTCTATGGGGGTAAATTATTTTTAACATTCAATATGCTTTTCTTAGGCACAGGGTAATGTGCTCTCTAAACTTAAGTTTAGAGTCAACCACTAAGCCCCAATCCTTCACAGAATCCCTAAATGATATTATATTGTCCCCTAGTTTGAGCTTAATATTATTTTCTAATACGTTTCTGTAGGAATCATTACAAAACACTATAGGCGTTGATTTACTAGGGTTTATCTTTAACAAGTGATCTTCAGAGGTTTTGAGAAGGCTATTCAAGTCGGTATTCAGTCGGTTTATTATAAGTTCTGACAGATCAGGTTTAAAAGAGGCATACATTTGAGTGTCGACAGCATAAAGATGATATTGACAATAACTTAGCGACTTCATGAAATTAACCGTATATAGGCTATACAATAATGGGCCCAAAATACTCCCCTGAGACACCCCTGATGTAATTGTAACTGTATCTGATATGTTCCCGTCCAAAGTCACGCCCTGCATCTTTTCAGATAAAAAAGAATTTATTAATGCATAGGCCGGCTGCTGTAATCCAATATATTTCAGAATAGCCTAGTATCTGGTCTCAAGATTAATCATGTCAAATGCTTTCGTGTAGTCCAATAACACCAAGACAGTAGCATTTCCCGCATCCAAAATAAAATTGACGCAAATTAAAATATTAACTATATCAATTAAGGACTGTCGTGCTGTGCTTTACACTAGTCTCGTCGAATTGAAAGACAACACAGAACACATCCACTCATACATACTTTAGTGTATCATGCTAAAAGGTATAGAAAATAAAATTTGCAAAAATAAATCCTACAACAGGAAAAAATGTAGTTGTGTAATTGAAGTAGTAAATAGTACAATATAGGTATTATAATAGATGTGTGTGTATAGCATAACTATGATGTCCATACCTCTAAACAAAATCACTATAAGATCTACATGCTATCCATAGTAATGTGGTTGATTTAATATATACATATATTATGAGATGAATCAACTTTCAATCGAATAAATCAGATGAATGGCAAAATAAATGCGTAGTATCTTCCATTTGGCGCTCGTACACCCCTACAGCCCTCGCAAAAGGAATCAGGAATACACATCTGACTGACGAGTTTTTCCAAGTATCCCGAGTTATTAATGCGATGCATAACGTCACCAAGTTTCACAAACACAAAACCATTACGACACCAGGCATTTTTATAAGTATATTTGTTTACAGCTACCACAAGGAGGTCCAGACGCTTTTTCGTTAAATCTCCTTTTATTAACGCACCCTTAGACCGCAAATTTTTAGGATTTTTAAGGATTGACGACCAATCCCCATCGCAGGAAAAACGAATTGAAACTGCAGGCAGTTTATTATTGTTAGTTTTTGGTTGTACCCTATGGAATTTTACAATACGCGATTCATCGATGTTTACTTTCATACATTTAAAAATGCCCTGTACCTTTTTATGTAAATTCGCACCGTTTTCCATGGGTAGGCCAAACAATCTTACATTAAGGTTTCGAGATGCCCGTACCTTGTCATCAACCGTCCGTAGAATTCTGTCCTGCGTGTCCCTGAGGTCCCTGATCTCTTCTTTGAGATCAACGATGGTCTGTTCCTGCTCCCGCAGCCTTGTTTCATACTTCCTTTCGGGGAGCTGGGCAACTCTTTCGGCAATAGTGTGTAGAAACCGATCAGTAAATATACCTTTAATTTTCTCAACGTCGTTATCTGAGAGACCCATGTTTATTTCCTGCGCGGTTTCTAACCTCACAAAACAGCACTGTGTAGGACAAAATATCGGTGGAAAATGGAACAAATTTTAACGAGGGGACACTTCAATATTTACTGGAAATTTTTGGAAAAACTTAGCTGCAGATTGCAAACGTGTGTTCACTCACAGGGCGCCATCTGCCATATCAATGATATGATGTGTGAAACGTGGCTAAAAGGTGGAGCGTTGAATTACCGGGGTTGGGAGCGTATAAATATACTAACATAAAAAAATTGAGATACTCCCTCCCACAGTCTCCTTCAATCCCCCACCCCCTAGCTGTTTACTTCTAATTTTTTTTTAAACTGATCAAAATCCTTTGAACCGTCAAAAAATGAAATTTGAGCGATTTGTACCCTTTTCATTTTTGACCCTCACAAAGAATACAAAGCCTTTTCGTTCTTGGCTTAGTAGTGCCTTGAGTAAAAATTTCGTCCAAATCCAAGCAGTACTTTACCACTTATAGAGAGGCCAAGTATTTCTGGACAGACCGACACTCGGCCCAACGGAAATGAGTGACATGATTTTAAATTTTTAACGTAATATCTTATTTCCGAAATTTTTAACGATTGGGTTATCCTAAAGGCCACGTGTTGTGACACTTGCGCCACGGTCACTTCAGTTTGCAACATGTACACACTTTGTACAGACAAAATGTTGTAGATATCAAATTAGACGTTTTGACACTCTGCAATATGTTGTGGCATATACAATCGACAAGGTACATGAACCCACACGTATGTCTGAAACCTTGGACCCAAAAAGCAACAAGATACATTTGTATATTCCGTGGACATAGAAGTACCACGTATCTTTAGACACAAAGTAAGACTTTTTAAATTTTTTTCAGATATTTTTGGAACCGATAGACCGATTGGAATGAAATTTGGAACACATCTGTTCTGCTAAACGTCCCAATATTTGACTGTTACAAAAAAAACCTAAAGGGTTCGAGCAGGGTGAAAGCTACCCCCACCCCTACAGAAATTATATCAGAACTTTTTCGTAACTCTCCCAACGACTCTGAATCTTGTTATTCCAAAGATCCATTTGTTTACTTAATTTTTTGTTTCTTATAAAAACATAGTTTTCGATAAATAACTGTTTTTTCGGTGCTAAACAAGTTTCTTATTACATCAAGTGTTGAAATTTCTTGCGCCGTATTGTTGGGTGCAGGTACGAAAATGGTAGTCATATTGACCATCTTTTATGGAAGATTCGCATTATTCCCTATATTAAATAAAACATTATAATCATAATATTATTTTGGCTAACTACACTTTAGGGCAAATTTCAACATCGTTAATCAGGTTGGACCAATAGGAATGGTAAATATCAGTGATTTCTATTGAGGTATTCAATAAAATCGTGAAAATTTGACTGTATGATTCCAATATGGTGCTTTTGTACAGAGAAGATAGGAACAACTTTCATGTATTTTGATTTCTGTTATAAATTTACATTTGACAGTTAGTTATCCCCAAAGCCAATGGGAATGCAGCAAAAAATAGGTCGATTTTCTAGCTGTTAAATTTAGCAGCTGGTTTGGACGTTTGTTAATGCTTGACAATCTCGAATTTGTTAAGTTCAATATACAGAGTGTTTATATGTTATCATTATAGCTACATACCAAGTTGAATAGTGTGGATTTGTCTGTATTTTGCAAGAAAATAGAATATAAACTACATTCCAACCAATTCCTTATCTTCCTTTACGTCATAATAGTAATAATTTATTAATTTATGGGTTAATGAATTTCTTCAAAGCAATAAAAACATTGTCCTCTCCATCCTAAAACAGAGATAATGTATGTAAGACGTATCAATCCCTACATCTCTGTGATGCATAATGCAATTACTATGAACATAGACAAAAAATTATGGAAAATTTCTCACAAATTGTCCGATTCCGCTAGATCTCGACTAAAATATTTTGTTTTGTTTTACTTAAGAAATGTTCCATATTTATTTAAACCTGTATCTTTGTATACGTTTATAAATAGAAATTATATATTTATACCCTTTCTCATTATTTATAAACTGCATTCACAGTCAAACCAATAATGCAATGTTGCAGAATTTGTAGCTATCCTGAATTGTCAGTGCCACTTAAAATCGGAGAACCATTATAAAACAAGGCAATGTAGCAAGTTGTTGTCGTGTTCCGTGGCCTTCATCACTGTTGTACCAAGCAACGTGGTATGTGGCGCACTCTTTCTACGCAAGTGGTATTGTATACA